GTAAGAGTTTAAGAGTATCTTTATAGGCATCGATTAGTTTAAATATCACAGTTCATGCTCTTTCCTTCAGCACCAAGAAAATTGATGTGATGGCCTGTCTTAAGTCAGTTTCCTCTATTGGTCTTTTATCTGACAAGACACCTTTGGCAAAGTAATGACAACGGCTCATCAATATGCTACTTTTCATCTGCCTGACACTGAAATCAATGAACTCAGAAGAAACCCCTCTATCAGCATTGTCAGAAGTGATCACCACACTGGGCAGAGCAGACTACCTGATTTCTCCAAGCACTCATTCAATCCTGAAAGCTTTCTCCAGGCTCTTACAACCATCACCTTGCTAGAGGTCAGAGATGAAGATCCTGTACAATCAAAGGATGCTCCGTCCATCTGGAAAGGGGAGGCTCTCTCAGAGTGTGAGCTGATATAATGGTCTTCATATTCCACCCCTGGGAGAAATCCCAATTTCCATGCGTGGGGCACAGGACCCTCAGGATCTGTCCTTGTATACCTGGAAGTGCTAACATGTCATAAGTGACATTTGGGTTTAGAGGTGACCCTTAGCACCAAAGAAAGGAGTTATGCAGGCAAAAGTGATTGGATTGGTGTAATCCAGTTCTTTGTAGAAAATTTAACATCTTCATAAAAATTTTAAAATAATTTTAAAGCATAGATATGATTATGTAAGTATTTTGTCATGGCTAATCAGAAATAATAACTAAGTAGGAGAAAACAATTCACCAAATACCTTTTAACATATTTAGATAATTTTCATTCATCAGTGATGAGCATTATCACATAGAACAATGAAATCCGCTAGCAACCGTAAGCTGCATAGAATTAGGTTTCCTTGACTGGGAAGCTTCTGGCCTTATACTTGTTCGAAAAAATAAGTGTACTGGAACCTACAGCTCTCACTTAGAACTCAAACCCAAAGTAGAAGAAAAAGAAGACCATCGATTTCAAAGAGTGATACCCAAACCATTGTGACTGGCAAATATCCAAATCACCAGGCAGTTGATTGTTCTCTTCTTAAAGGAGTACAATAACATCATGCCCCAAAAGGCAAGAATTACTTTCCCCACAAAAACGAAAATTTACTTTCTTAAAGTGTACTTTATTTTGTTTCTTATACTGGCCAGTAGCTATATGCTCTTTCTCCCCCCAAATCAAATGCTCCTTCTAAAGTAACAATTGTCTGTTTTAATATACATGCCCCGCCCTATCTCATCAATGGTAAAATCCTATAGGTGATGACAATATAGTTAAAATCTCAGGAAGCTGTGAAGGTACATAGGGAAGTTATAAATTCAGAGACAACTGTCAAGAATTCCTCTGAGGAGTAGGTGCTGTATGCATCTTATTAATGAAGTGGCCAAGAAGGCCCTGAGCTGTGGAATTCATTGATCAAGCACGATCCTACCTATAATCATTTGATTTTGTCTCCCCCTCCAGATTCATTTTGCATTACTTCCTCCCTCTCAACTCGTGCAATTTGAAGCCTTTCTGTGTTGAATATGCTTGTGCCTACAGTCTTCCTTGTTAATCACTTAAAGAGGACCCTCTCAACTTGGTCTTCTGGTGAACTCCTAAGCATCCCTCAAAACTCATGAACATCATGACATCACTTCCCTATCCTTTGTAGATTCCTTTGGATAGAATTTACGAGATCTGTCTTTAAGATACTTCTTCACTTTGCACAAACTCCAGCAATTGCAATTGGTTATTTTCACTCCCCCCCAATACCCCAACTCATGTATCCTCATGAAAGAGCAGAGTTTCCCAACCTCAGTATTACTGACACCTGGGGCCAATTAAATCTTTGCTGTGGATGACTGTCCTGCATAATGCAGGATGCTTACTAGCATCCCTGGCCATTAGATCCCAGTAGCATGGTTCCTGGTTGTGACAGTCAGGAATGTCTCCAGTCATTTCCGGGTGTCCCTGCAGGGCACTATTGTACCCAGTGTAAGTCACTCCAGGGTCTTCTATTTGTCTCATTAAACCCAAAAATCTGCATGGTACCTGGCTCATAACATATTCCCAGCCAATATTCACTGAACTGATCTAAACCAAAGAAAGGATGACATGGCTCCAGCAAAATGCCACCAAGAGCCCAAGTAGTGTCAATAGCTACTTCCAGCTACTTTTAAATAAATATATTTTCTCACTAAAAATGATGTTTTCCTACTAAGTAGGACAAAGGAATTCTGTGGATTGTTGTTTCTTTTTCCTAAAAGCAAAGAGCATATGTGAAAAAGTTTCCTGAGCACTGTGGCCCCAGGCTATTTTTGACTGTGTAGCTCTTGAAGCCTGGCTGGCTCCCTCCCCGCCCATCTGCTTCCTCACCCTTTTGAAGCCCTGTCTGCCTGTGCCTACTTCCACAGCAGTTTGCATTCAGCCATTCTCCTCCACAGACAGCGGGACAGTGGAGGCCCTCAGTGGGCCCATGTGCTACTCAGAAGGAAACCTCAGCAAAGGCTGGGGCTCCAGCGGCTGACCGCCAAGTCCGTTGTCTGTCTGCTTCCTGGGCCAAAGCATTTGGCTCCTGTTTCCTGGGCTTTTATCTGCATTTATCTTTCCCACCAGATGAATTTAAATTATGTCTTTATCTTTTACTACTAAGGTGGCCTAAATCCCCTTTCTGTATTAATATGACTTCCTTGTAGAGGCCATTTTCTTCTCTAAGAGCGGGTTATAAATATCGTGAGATGTGAGATGAAAATGGCCCACTTCCAGGAAAGCCTTGTGACCCAGCCCGGGGCATGTGGGAAGGACTCAGACTTCCCAGCACAACAGGGAAGGAGTCAAAGAGGATGTTTCATCTTTAAAACAAAAGTAACTGAGGGCTTCTCAGTTGGTGAATCCTCAGAGAGTGAATCCTTCACTTGCAGCTGATCAGTTACTAGGACGGAGCAGAGCCCACCCTGCTGAATTGTGTTGGCCCTTTGCTTTCTGTTTTGGGTTTTATGACAGTATGAGGTTCTGGGAAAGTTTTTGCTTTCCTGGTAAAAGATAGATATTTCTTGGGCTGCCCTTCCCCTACCTCCTGCTTTGAATGTGGGCATGTTTCTGGAGCAGCAGCTGCCTTCCTGAGACTGTAAGGCATCTCCTGTTTGGTAGGCAGCCCCAGCATTCTGCTCTATGAAAAGAATAAAGCCGTTCCCCTAAACTTGTGGACAAAAGCTCTGTTGTTTGCAGCCAAAAGTATTAAAACAAAAATAATTGAATGAAACAGCTTATGCTCTTGTCAAGTCATTATGAAAACAAATGTGTTTGTTATGTCTCTTTGCTCTTCCCCATAAATGCTCACCAGAAATCCAAATACAGTGTGGTTAGTACAAAATCTACCTGACCTTAAGTATTGATCTAAACCAAAAGTGACACTATCGTTCAAGATGGTTTTAGAAGACACATTGAAAACTAGCCATTGTCCTGGCAGCCTGGCTTGCTTATTGCTAACCTTTATTATGTGCTTTCTTTGTACTGAGCATTTTACATGCTGCTTTAAATGAACTTCCTACTGAACATTCACAAGAACCCAATGAGGTACATGCCAAGATATACTCATTTTAAAAGGAGGTAAATTAAGTTAAGAGACAACTATAAAGCAGAGACATTCTGTAGGGGATGGGCAGGGAGAGGGAGCAAAACAGGCGAGGGAAGAGCACAAGGGACTATGATGATGGTGGTGGGAATTTTACAGGGACTACACCAGAGAGGAGAAAGCAAACATTGCACAAAAATGAACAATGATGTAAATAAAATATATTTAAATAAAAATAAATAATTAAAAAATAAAATTAAAAAAAAGATTTAATACAACAACAATAAAAATAAAGGAGGTAATTAAAACACAGAATAACTAACTCCCCCAAGTTTACCCAACTAATAGGTAGTAGGTGGTTATTATCAGTGTTTTCAGACTTATAAAGCACATACTCTGAAAAGTATGTGCCCTGAAGAATACATGCTTTGCCACTCTAGATACGTAGGGAAACAGATGAATTTCCATTTGTCTCTTTCAGGAACTATCAGAATTACTCTTCTGTAAGAGAAAATCAGCCATAAAGGGAAAGGTGATTCAGCCCACATCATTCAGAGGAAAAAATCTGTTTAAATGAAATAATATATGAAATACTAACAGAACATGAATCAAACTAATAATAACCACTAAATTTTATTATAGATGTATCATGTTGATGCACTTTGTTAAGCGTTATTGGAGATTGTTTTCTTATTCTTTAAAATAAAACACAGGAAGGCAGAAAATGCTGCTGCTAGTGCCCAAGACATCACTTTCCCTTGCTCCAGTGTTCTACTACTTTATGATCTATAATACAGCAGTCATAATTCATTATGAGACATGTATGACATGATGTGACATGACATGATATGATATAATGCTCTACAAAAACACTGGTAGATTAGAACAAAAATGAACCCAGGCTCCCCAGCACCACAGTGGAGCTGCCTTCAACATACAGACAAGCGTCATGAAGAACAAGATGAGTTATGCTAAGGAAACTAGAGCAACTTTAGCATCAAAAACAACAGAGAAAATACACAAGCAGACAGAATCTTAACCATTAAATTAAATATTGGTCCCTCTGTATATGTAATATGCTATTTTATTTATTCTTGCTCTAGAATAAAATAAAACAAGCCGAGACAATTATGGCGATCTACTTGATTAAAGTAACCACAAGCAGAGTGATTCATATAAATCTCAGTTCCTCACTAGAAGGAGGAATTGAGAGAGGTGAGTTAAGGACAAATAAAAGGAAGTCTTACTTCACTCGGAAAATAATAAGCACAAGGAGCTCATTACCACAAAAGAGGTACAGGCAAGGAATGTAAATGGATTCATAAAGGTTTTGACCAAATTTATGAATGTCAGAGCCATAAATGGCTACTGAGAGTACACCTAACCTTTCAGGCTAATGTCAGGGGGGGAGAGAATGTGTCCTTTCCCGGCACTTCCCTCCAGGCCTCTGTTGTCTACACTGTGTTGGGTGGATGGGACACGGGCCTGCCCTGCGAAGCACTTCCCGAATCCTATTAACTCATGGATGTCGGGTCAAGTGAACATTCACGTCTTCATGGCGGCGCACGGGAAAAACATTCCATTTTAAACAGGAAGCTTAGGGAACGCTGCTGTTGGACTTTCATGTGATTGTTAACTCAGTGTTATGCAAGAGGAGAGCTTCCATTTTGGGAGTCAGAAGTCAAACAACGTATCAATGCAGGCCCTACAGGCGGTGGTACAAGATACTCACTCTTCTGTGCTCAGCTTTCTCATGTGCAAAATGGGGAGATTAACACCCACGTGACAGGTATCTTGCTGAGACTTAGAAGAAAATACTTTGTAAGCTGGAAAACAAACAAACATTTTATTACTGTTGCAATAACCAGTTTTAAGGAAAGTTCTCCATTTTGGGAAATACACAAATATAGAACAATTCTAGGCATGTCTCAATTCAAGCATTCATATCATCTATCTGCTTCCTCACCTCCCTCACTTCACTGTGAGCTTTTATAAGACACAGCTCTTGTCTGATTCATCTATGCATCCCTAATATTTATCATAATTTGAGGTGTATAGTTGGCACTGAATAGATATTGATTAAATAACTTAATGTGCGATTAGTACTATCATCTGCATTTTGCAACAGTGGGAAAAAGAAATGATCTAACTATAAAAAGGAAATTAAACCACAGTGACATACCATGAGACACCAATTAAAACAGCCAGAATCCAGAAAACGGATTAACACCAAGTGCTGGTGAGGATGTGAAGTAACAGGCAATAAAAACCTTTTGTATGATTCAATATCATACAGATACACGTCTCACTCATTGCTGGTAGGAATGCAAAATGGTACAGCCACAGAGGGACAGAGTTTGGTGATTTCTCACAACGGTAAACATTCTCTGATACCATCACATTCTTTGTTATTCACGCAAAGGAGAAGAACATTTATGTCAGCACAAAAACCTACACACAGATATTTATAACAGCTTTATTCATAATTGCACAAACTTGAAAGCAAACAAGATATGTTTCAATTAAGTGATTTTTATATAAATAAACCATGGTACATCTAGAAAATGGAACATTATTCAGGGCTAAAAAGAAGTGTGCCATCAAGCCATGAAAAGACATGTGAAAGATATCAATTTGAAAAGACTCCATACTATACAATTCGAACATTCTGGAATAGGCAAAAGTATGGAGACAGAAAAACTGATCAGGAGTTGTCAAGGAGTGAGGGCAGGAGAATGGAGAGGGATGATTGGGCAGATCCTTGCCAGCACAGTGTTCCAGATTTCGGCTATTCTAATAAGCGTAGGGTGGTGCTTCATTGCTGTCTTAATTTTTATTTTCCTGATGACACAGGATGTGGAGTATCTTTTCATGTACTGACTTGTCCCCTGTATTTCATCTTTGGTACGGTGTGTTAAGGTAGTTGGTCCACTTTTTAAGCAGATTGTTTGTTTTCTTCTTGTTGAATCTTAAGCGTTCTTTGTATATTATGAATACCAGTCCTTTCTCATATGTATATCTTGCAAATATTTTCTTCCAGTCTGTTACTTATCCTCTCATTCTCTTGACATTTTCTTTCACAGAGCGGAGGCTTTTTAGGGCAATGAAACTCTTACAAATGATTCAATATGACAGATACACATCATTATGTTTGTCCAAACCCACAGAAAAGTACAAAATCGAGAGTGAACCCCAAACTATGGACTTTGGGTGGTTATAACATGTTCATCAAGTATAACAAATGTACCATTTTGGTGAGTGAGGTTGGTAACAGGGGGAGGCGATCCCTAGTGAGAGCAGGAGGATATGAGAAATCCCTGTAAGTTCCTTGCAATATTGCTGCAAACCTAAAAGCACACTAAAAAAGTAAAGGGAGAGAGGGAAGGAGGGAATATTTGAGAAAAACAAATACTGGGGTGTGTGTGTGTGATCACTTTTCTCACTTAACGGTCCTGAAGGGATGAACATGAAAAGGGTCATTTCTTCATTGTCCCTAGGGACAACCACTGCCTTTGCAAGAGTAACCTCCCATCACTTTGCCAAGCACATTCCACTCAGCAGTTGCAAGTCAAGTTGCAAAGACCCTTTGCTTCTCTCAATTCTGAAATGCTCTCCACTAATACAACGGTCCTTGCTGTCAAAGGGGTCGTCATGAATGTCTAGTTCACATCTGCTTTTCCTTGGCTTCTCTACAGCCAGACTGACTTTGCTGCCTTCACATTTCAGTCTTTTTATTCCCCAATCCCAGACTAACATTGGTAGTTATTAATATCCTGGCTTATTCAAACCAAGGACACATATATATCTCATCCACTCTCTGCATCCTAAATGCACCACCACTTACCTTATTGTCATTACTTCCTGCTGTCAATCCCATATTGGAACCAGCGACATGGCTCTACTTTGTCATGGTGAAAAGTTTATCCTGCACATTTTCCATTTCTTAGGTCTTCCGTGAATGGCTGTGCTCATCTCGTGTGTGCTTCCAGGCATCTCCAGGGCTCTGCATTTAACTTCGTACTTCTAACAGCATCTGTACAGAGATAATATTAATGTTATTGCAAAAGACAGGCAGAGCCTCATTTTCTCTGCTTTGACTGAAAATGCTGTTCAGAGTGAAAATGTGCAGACACTGGCATTTTTGCGTGAGGTCTGAACGTGTGTGGGTCCAGCCATTGGAGGCAGGAAGAAATAAGATACAACTGCCAGATGGCTTGGCTCAAAAAAATACCGGTCAAAATTAACTGGTGATACACAACCTTTAAAATCATTTTCCCAAAGGATCCTCTGTATTCTAACAGAGAGTAAAATTCCCAAATTTACTCTCAGTTTTGAGATGGAGTTGCTGGGAAGAGTGGATGATTTAAAAAGAGATCACTTCTCTCCCAAAATAGCTACTTACCTAGACATATTGAGTGTACTTAAAATTCGGGATGCAACTGCTTATCATATTTAAATTTTTTGAAGGCCTGATTTAGAATTCACAGTAGGAGGGTATAAATAGATAGGAGGGTGAAAAGATGGTTGCATGTGCAGTTAAGTTCCAGTCTCTACTAATTGGTTATTCTTAATGCATCCCTAAGCCTCGGTTGACTTCTCTGTATATTGGGGATAATAAAGTCTGCCTTGGCTAGGTCATGGTCAGAAGGTTGTAGAAAGATCTTGATATAAAAATGCATGAGAATGAATTTTATAAACCATCCAGAACTATGGAATCTATGTTGTTATTATAACATGAAAACAGAAGTTGCTGAAATAAATAACTTAGAAGTTACTAATGGTCTGGGTGGAATATGTACCCTGGGTTTCTTTAGATCATCCAAGCTGCTCCTTTCACTTTGTTGACTTAATGTTCCTTGCGTTTTCTTATTTTAACCCCAAAACAACTCAACATGAACAAAGTTGCCACCAAGTACATTGGTAACAAGAATTTTAGTAGACAGTAATTAGAGTCTCGCCATCATATTATTGAATAGCTTAAGCAAAAGGGGTGGTTGTGCTGAGTCCACACTGATTTATCACTCTCCACTTCCACCAGTGTTTCCACGAGCACCTACGTGATCAGGGCTGCCCAATGAGGATGCCACCTACCCCAGTTTCCTCCTACCTCCTGCTGCACCTGCTGACTCCAAGCTCTATGAGGTCAGTGACCTCCTCCCTCCAGCTAACCTCTGGGGGCCCTGGACAGTTTGGTTTCTCAAGCGCAGGAGGAGACACCATCCCAGAACTGCAAGTCTTCAGTCACTATTGCACCATTCACATTATTCAATCAGATTCATTGCTACAAAACCTAGAAGGATTGCAGGAAAATGAAAATTCTGCGATTGGCTGGGCAGGTGACACTGCACAGTTCACTTTCCTCCCTTAGATTTAGTCTTGTGGTCTCAACATAGAAGCTCCAGGGTCATTGTGGGGTTGAAAAATGTTGAAGACAAAGAGTGTAAATTTTTATGAACTCTGAGTTCCTGTTCTGTTTTAAAAATATTGCTTGCTGGGAATGGATTCAAGGACCAGTGTGTTGTTTTGGTTCTTGGGTCTTTCTGGCTGAGCTCTTCATTAATACTTTATTTTAATGACTGTTAGTGAATCAGGCATCCATGACCCCAGCTTACAAGATCTACGCCATAAAATGCCATAAAATGACCCAGCGAGACAATAAACCACCCCCTAGGTGTGTGCTTCTTTTATGACTCAACTTTCTTAGTCACTTTACAAAAGGAACTTCAAAGACGCTTTAGCTTGGACACTGACCATGGAAAAGGAGAATTGCAGATCTGGACCCCCTAAGCACCGGCCTGCCTGAGTGGGCCGCCTCCCTGCTCCTGGGTTCAGACAGGAAGCCCAGCAAGCATGGCGAGGGGGAGTAGCAGCCACAGTATCTGGAGCAAACAGCAGCAATCTACTGTGAAATTCTTTTCATCTTCCCCCACACTCCTGTGAGAACCAGGAGGATTTCTGAGAAGCACAGCAATTCTCAATCCTGGCAGCAAGGCAGCTTGCTTGGAGCTCGAGCACCTGAGTGGAGGGGTGACCATGTTAAACACTCCGGGCGACAGAGCCGGGGGCGAGCGGGTAGCCTGAGCCACATATGCAAACCGAGCGGTGGAAGCTTTCAGTCTCGTGCACAGAGTTAATGGAAACCAAGAGCTGCCATTGCAGAACCGCCTCACCCCCTTTAATCCTTAATAACCACATGAAAATGGGCAGGCTGCATTCGGAGCTGCTCTAGCAGGCGATCTCCAGGAAACAAGGCTCCCTACAGGCTTTCCCTTGATCTTAAAGCTTAGCTTGAAACATTTATATGCACGGAGCACCTGGCCAGGAGATGTGAGAGGCCTTTCCCCCCCTCACACCTTGGCTCTATTTCTTTCTTGAATAATAAATACTCGGTTTTCTTTTTTCCCCTCCTGGAAACTGAGTCCATTCTAAATCATGTTTTTTGTTCTTTCTTAATAGTTTAGGGAAAACAAGATGAAATTGAACACCTTCCACTCCCATTATCCCCCACCAGGACCCCTGCCTGCCCGTTGCTACCCTGTTTCCTTAGGAAAAAGGAAGCAGGAGTCAGCGCAGGTTAATTCCAATCAGGCTGAGGACTCCTTTGGTTGAATCCAAGGGGCTCAGGTTAACATATTACGCCATTTAGCAGCCACTGGCTACTCAGCTCTTCCTCCCCACACGCCTTGCTGCTGAAGAAGTCTTGAGTCCAATAACTTGTCCTGATTGTTTGGGCTTGCCCAGGCCGGGGTTTGAAGTATAGTCAGGTGTTTAGAGAGCAGCCCGAGTGGGGGTCCTGAGTGGGGAAGCCCATCTGGGTCACAGCCTCAACGAAGTGGCAACTGTTTAACACCCTGCACAGGCGCAGAAGCCTTTCTCCCAAGCCAGCTCACACCGACTTGCCTTGCTGCAAGCCAGGGGCACCACATAAAAGCAAGCTTCCCCAGAGCGGGTTCCCCACCAGGCAAAGTGCACCATTCTCCACTGATCTGCGTAAGCCACGGGGTCACTTCACTCACCAACGCCAAACCCAGCAAGCAAGCAGGCATCATGGCAACAGTGCATTCCAGAGATGAGTGGGGAGGAGGATAGTTGGTGGGAAAGAAAGGCAAGGACTAGTGACGCCCTCTGACCTGGAAGGACAAGGACGGCTGTGCAGGGGAACTGCCTCTGCCAGCACAGCTTGCTGATGTCACCTGGGCCAGCTCCCTCCTCTGTAACTGGAGACCTCCAGGTGTTCAGGCCCTTCCTGCCCTAATGTCCGGGGAGCTGTCAGTGTCTGCTCTCTTGGGGGGGGGGGTGCATTTCTGCTGTTTTATTTAGAAGTTAAAAAGCTGCTTGCTCCCTGTCTTAAAGTCTGGGTTTGTTTGGAGATTGGTCATCAAAACTGAAAATTAGCCAAGCGAGGCAATTCTGGCTCCCTCTGCCTTAATGCTGGGTACCCCAGAGGGGAAAATCTCTTGGCCACAGGAACCACACACACACACACACACACACACACACACAGAGGCACAAGTGTAAAGCACACACACATAACATATATACACATATATACAAGTATACATCTGCTTTTAAAATACATACTTTTTATCTCACAGACATTTGCATTATTTCCCAAGCCTTGAATCAGCCTCACAAAATGACTCTGACGTAAGAAAGTAATGTAAAGGCTATGAACAAGATGACCCCTCCCTTTCTCTTAAAGACTCAAAGAAAATAATCTTACATACAAAAATCTGGGGCTTCTAAGATAAAGAACAATCTATTGGGGGACTTTGTATGCAAATGAGGAAGAGTCTATTGATCAGGAAAGGAGAGAGCCACCCACTTAGAGGAAATGCAGTTTTATTCTCCAGGACAACCACAAAATTAGGAATTTTCCAACAGCAGGTTTATACTCTATTTCGAGGTATGTTTTTCAGCATTTTATCCCTAGTTTCTTTTAACTCAACATCTATCAGTTATTGAATATCTCCTTATTTTCAGTTCAGTTAGACTTCAGAAATGATTTAGATGAGAAAACGGAACTGCTTGAAAAGTCCAAAGCTTCAGAAGCAAAATGACAAACGTAAAACGAAGGGATTGGGCGTGTCTACCTTGGCAAAATACACGAAGGGGAGTGGGCGGCTCTGCGTTTGTGGAGTAAGAGGGGAGGTGACCTAGGGACCACAAGGACATTTAGGTGAGACAGGCCTGCAGCAGGAAACAGAGAGGGAGCAGACGCTGAAGGGCTGGAGGCCATGGAAGAGACCCTCTCACAGGGGGGAGGAGGCCGGCAGGGAACTCGGGCTGTGGAACCAGCAGCATGGAAGTTGAGGACATCTGGGTATTTAGTCCCTGCAGCCCGAGGGCTGTGAGGCTTTGCATTTGGTAAACAGTGTTTACTTAGCGAGCAGGGCCTTGTACTTTAAAAGAATAAGCAGGTGCTTTCTCGTGGTCCCTGCTCTGGCTCTGGCCACCCGGCACATCCCCGTGCCTTGTTCACTTAAAGCGCAGGGCCTGAGCGCCACAGAGGCAGGCAAGGAGAGGCACCGTTTCTTTTTTAGCAAGTAAGTTTGAAAACAACAATTGCCCGTGCTTTCTCAACTTTTTATGCCTTGTCAAGATAAGGGGCAGTGGACGCACACAGCACAACCAGATGCAAACGCCAGACCCAGTCCTTTCCAGAAGCCTCCTCAGGCTCCTCACCAGGTTAGCGCTGCTCATTAACAAGTCATTTTAATTCTCCATGTCAGCCCCAGCTTGCAGGTGCCAGGGTTTCCTTTTGAAGAGAGCAGGTGCTCTGTGGCCCAGCTTTGCAGAGAAGTAAACATTCGGAAACCAGGACAGGGTTCTCTGGTGCTTAAGATCTGGCATCTTCTAAATTTAGAGCGCCACCCCTCCCTTTAAAATTTATTTTATTTTAATTTTTTAGGTTGCACAGGCACGAGGTGTTGTGAACATACCTCAAGTGTCTTTTAAAAATTTAAACTGGGTTGATTTGTAGTGTCAGTGATTGCTGCTAATCAAACTTGCTGACAACTTTTCAGGAGGGGA